TAAAGCTTTTGGGAACAGCAGCACTGAACAATGCTTATCAGAGGACAGAAGAACAGAGTTATTTCACAATAAACAAACTGAAATTGTCAAGTCAAGTCAAGTCAACTTTATTTATATAGCGCTTTTAACAATACAGATTGTGACAAAGCAACTGAACAGTATTAATTAGGAAAATAGTGTCAATAATGCAAAATGACAATAGTAAACACTCATTTTTCAGTTAAAGACAGTTCATCATTGAATTCAGTGATGTCAACATCCAGCTCAGTTTAAATAATATCTTTGCAATCATGTCAACGATAACGCTGGAAATGAAGTGTCCCCAACTAAGCAAGCCAGAGGCGACAGCGGCAAGGAACCAAAACTCCATCGGTGACAGAATGATCAAAAGATAAAAGAAAATAAGGAAGAATTTAAGGAAAGAAGAAAGCAAAGAAAGACATAAGGAAGGAAGAAAAGGATGAATAAGGAAGAAGAGGAAGGAAATAAAGAAGGAAGGAAGGTAATAAGGGGTGAGGGAAGGAAAAAGAGAAGGGATAAAGTAGGAAGAAGATAGCAAAGAAGGGGGAAATAAGGAAGGAAATAATGAATGAAGGAGACAAAAGAGGGAAGGGAAATAAGGAAGAATGAAAGTAAAGAAGAAAGCAAAGAAAGAAATAAAGAAGGAAAGAAGGAAGAAAAGGAGGAAGAAGAGGAAGGAAAAAAAATGTAGGAAGATAGCAAAGAAGGAAGGAAGGTAGGAAGTAAATAATGGCGGGAGGGAAGGAAAATAAAAAAGGGGATAAAGCAGGAAGAAGACAACAAAGAAGGGGAAAAAAGGAAGTAAAGGAGGAAGAAGAGGAAGGGAACAAAGACGGAGGAAGATAGCAAAGAAGGAAGGAAGGAAATAAAAGGGGAGGGAAAGAAACGAGAAAGGGGATAAAGTATGAAGAAAATAGCAAAGAAGTGAGAGAGAAGGAAGGAAAGTAGTAAAGGTGGAAGAAGAAAGATGAAGGAAAAAAGATGGAGGAATAACAAAGAAGGGAGGAAGGAATGAAGGAAGGAAATAAAGGGGGAGGGAATGAAAAGAGAAATGGAATAAAGTAGAAAGAAGTGGGAAAGAAGGAAGGAAGGAAAGGAGGAAGAAGAGGAGGGAAAAAAGATGGAGGAAGATAGCAAAGAAGGAAGAAAGGAAATAAAAGGGGAGGCAAGGAAAAGAGAAAGGGGATAAAGAAGAGGATAAAGACTGAGGCAAAAGAAGGAAATAAACCAGGAAAATTAGGAAATGAGGATGAAAGAAAATGAGGGAAAGACAAAAGGAAGGAAGGAAACAAAAGAGAGAAGGAAATAAGGAAGCAAGCAAAGATGGGAAAATCAGAAATCAATTAACAAGGATAGAAGGAAAAAACGAAATTTCCATTTTGCCTCTCCAGGATCAGGTCTGGTGTAGCCTATTGAAATAAAGGTGACTTTAATTCTATGTGGTTGTTGAATAGAAGTGCTGCCCAGCGACTGGGCTCTGATCTTTAGGCCTGACCTCCCGTGAAGATGATGGATGGGTGAAGTCCAACACTGATAGCTGCATATCCATCAACTAAAGGATCCCTTGATGAATGAATATGTCCTCTATCAACAGTGCATCTCCTCATGAGGTATTGTCCATCCGTGTGAAATGAAGTACATGAAGAATATTGCAGTGCAAGATGGATTAACTAGCAACTTGATTTAGTCAGCAATCATGTTTGAAACCCTCATCAATTTCTCTTCAAGGAACATAAAAGCTGAAGCGATTCATAACTCCAGGGATAGAAAAGGGCCCTAAAGAGGACTGGATCAGTCTCTGTGAAAAAGATTATTAGCAGACATTGCAAGGTTTAAATTCATGAGAAGATTTGAGTGCTCAACAAAAAAACAACAACCACAAAATACATACTTTGTGGATTCACATTTATTTTTAAATGTTTTTGAAGTTGCACTGGTTGAGAGTTTCTTAGCCCATCATGGGTTGGCAACAATGATTTGAATATAAAAGAAAATCAAGATGACTAGGGAACTTTTTTTTTCGGTGATACATATTGCAACATGAAAAGAAAGACATGAATTTTCACCAGAATTTTTTGATATTTGTAAAAAATGAATGATTCTAGAATGATTGGGGTGATTTTGAAGCGGAGTGAATTTGCATAGAAAATAAAACTAAATAGAAACTAAAAGTTTTTAATGAACCCCATCCTTTTTAGACAATAAAGTGAAAAAAAAAAACTTTACTTGAGTTATTATTGGCCACATTCTCACTGTAAATAATAATAATAATAATAATAATAAT